GGGGGGGGGGGGCATAGGTTCCTAACATGAGCACCATTGGCGCGATAATCTCAGACGTGGTCATGCTCCCCCATGGAAATTTTGAATTTCTAGGGTTTCTAAAACAGCATTTCTCGCCTTCTGAGACAAGTTCCGAAGAGAAATCATTACTACAGTTCTGGAGATCATTGGCGGCCACTGGCCATCCCCTTGACTAAGTCACTGGGTATATACCCCCTTTGTAAAGCTCTACTTTTACCTAGAAAGACCAAAACAAAGCAAGCTGAATGGAATAAATATTCTTTTTAAAGGTATCCAACACGTATCATTAAAGAATATATTTGTCAGTCACCGTGGACAAGATGAAGATAATTGTGGCAACTGGACATTACCATGTCGTAGTGTGAGACACGCTGTCAATATTTCCATTGCTAATGACTAATATTGATTACGCTGAGGGGAGACCTTACAAAGAATGTGAACATCTAATTGGAGGAAACCACACGATTATGCTGAATAAATCACTATCGTTTTACGGCTTTAATGGAAGTGCGATATTACATTGTGAACAACCATACTCATTTTTTGAGATAAATAGTTCTTTGTTTTCAACGCCAAAGATTGTATTTTCTAACCTTTCACTAGCTAGCCGTGGAATATTTTTGCTTAATGCTGATTCTAAATATGTTAGTAGGTTTGAACTAGAATTTAAATTCTGCGACATAAACAGATCTTTGTATTTTGTTAAGGCATCAGCTGCCTTATCTTGTTCAATTCAAGTAGTTAATTGCAACATTCGAAGCGTTCTTAATCCAATAATGTTGACTTGCACTTTCAATCTGACGGCTCGTCTGGCTGGATCGACATTTTTCTCATGCTCAATTGAACTAGAGGCGTATGAACATATCTTATTTAGGCAAACTCAATATGATCGAGAACCATCAGTGAACGTTCATATTTATAACTGCACTTTTATACTGTCGAAAAGACAACCATCTTGTAGTTCGTTTGTCGAAATTGTATCTTTGATTGATATTAGTAACATAACGATTGCGTCTTCTGTATTTACCACATTTTATGGCACTGGTCAAACAACGGCACTTGGGATATCTGCTGATGTACAATCAATTAAAACAAACATTGTTTTGGATAGATTACGTTTTGAACACATTTACAGTGATTATGAGGTTGTTAGCATAACAATATGGCCAACGGTTCATAGCAAAGTATTTAATGTTGGTATATTCAATTCTGAGTTCGTAAATACTACACGAGCATTGGGTATCTATTTCCCCGGGTATTCTTCTCCGCTCATGGCTACGGTGATCCTCCACAATAATACGTTTAATATTACCCATAGTACATTTGGAAATGAAGGTCCAGTATATCTTTACGGTGGTTCGTACCATATTTCATCGTGCCGTTTTTTTCAACATGTCCCTGGGTACATTCCTGAATATCCACTTATTCATGTTGAACACTCAGCCTCGATAAAGTTTAAGAACTGTTGGTACGAAAGTTATCTTATTACAGAAACTAGTCGCAATGGTAATTTGTCGAACAGCAACATGTTCTACGTTATATCGTACAGATGGCTGGAAATGGCACTTCTTGTTATTAAGGGATATTTTACAATCCTTTGTCCCATAGGTTATACCATGCACTTAAGAGCCGAATGTGATAACAAATCAGATCTGACTTCTGATGAAGCAGTAAGTTGCGACTTATTTACTGCCTACTGTGAGCAATGTCCTCGAAAGACATACTCTTTAAAGAGAGGAGAGGTTCATAATACCCGGTCCAACCACATCCAATGTCATGACTGCCCTGTTGGTGGGAACTGTGTCGAAGGCCTAGTGACGTCTAAACCTAATTTTTGGGGATACCAGTCAAACCAAACAGTCACGTTTCTACAATGTCCTCCCAAATACTGCTGTGATACAGATCACTGCGAACACTACAACAGTTGCCATGGTAACAGAATGGGAACCCTTTGTGGTGAATGCCCTAGTGGGATGTCGGAATCTCTATTTGACACAAAATGTAAAGCAAACAAAGATTGCACAAGTGTTACGTTTTGGCCAGCGATCTCAGCTTACTTAATTATGTATCTCTCATTCTTCTTGTACCAGAAAGATATCATCAATTTTATCCTGAGACGTTTTACGCCAAGATGTTTTTTGTCTTCCAGAAATGGTCGAAACTCCGAACCCGGTGGCTTCCTAAAAATAATTTTTTATTATTATCACGTTGTTCATTTGTTAGACAAATCTGTTGGCTCAGAAGCAAAAGTTCAATTATTTGATGACACAGAAAACTTTATATCCAGGGCATTCAATTTTCTTATCATTGCTATTCCTTCCATTGATTGTCCATTCCGAGATATTCGCCCTGTTCAAAAAGCGGTCATAGTTCATTCTGTAGGGTATAGTTTGTTAGCACTTCTTTTTCTATTGTATCTTTCTATATTTGTATTCAAGGTAGTTAAGAAACTGAGGACTAGATCCACTCAGCAGACGGTTGCAGATGCCGAAACAATGGATCATAGTTCTAGTTTAGAAGAGAATCCTCTTCTGGGCCGTATTGTAGGGGCCTTTGCCAACATTTCACTTTTGACGTACGCTTTGTCCACTCAACTCTGTCTTTCCCTCCTTCACTGTGTACCAGTTGGTGACAACCAAGTTTTATTCCTTGATGGTCATGTAAAATGTTACAAAACATTTCAATATTTTCTTTTTGGTTACATGATATCTTCCATACTTCCATTTTGTCTTGTTCCTGTTCTCGGCTCGTATCTTTTGAAGTTAAATCGTATTTCTGTAGCACAGTTTTGCCTTGCTTGTATCTTTCCACTGCCATTTTGTTGTTATTGGTCGTGTTTGTTGGTACGGAATTCTTCGTGGTGGATGAGACCTTCTCGTCGTGTAGAAACAAATGAGCGAATACAAGATGATGTAATTGATCAAAACTCTACTGATTCAGCCACAACTGAAGGCAGGGGAACTGTGAGTGGAAATTCAAACCCGGAAACCGAAAATTTGAGCACACAAACTGAGTTGAGGGGCAGTAAATCTGCCGTTCTTCATATCCTTCTAGGTCCATTCAGGCCACACAAGGCAATTTTTATTTTCCCTGCCTCGCATCTTCCATGGGAAGGTTTTCTTATTCTTCGAAGACTGGTATTGATTTTGGTCCTCACGTTTGTGTACGACACTCGTGTGAAGGCAACTCTATCCATGATACTTTGTGCAGTTATTTTACTGCCTCATGTACTCGTTAAGCCTTTCAAGAGCGCCAGCGATAACGTACTTGAAACATTATCCCTTGTAATGCTGATAATCATCTCTGGTTTTAATTTGATTAAAAGTATTTATTATGGTGAAGATTTGGACTCCGGTAGCAAGGCTTTGTTAAATATGATCAACGTGATTGAAAATGCTCTTATAATTTTTCCCGTTGCTTTCATACTTTCTTTGGTAATGCTTTCCCTTCTTTTTAAACTGGTAATGGTGTTTCGGCTTTGCTTTCAAGCTGCGTTCAGGCGATTGAAACTGTTTAAAGAAACTAATCAAAGACCGTCCGAGAACTGTACTCCTGAAGAGCAACAGTCTTTGCTCTCATCGTGAGAGTAAAAAACTTGAGTCAACATGCTTTTGAGTGCATAATTTTTCCATGTTTCCAGACGATGTGACGGGGCGCAAAGAATCTGGAACTAGCAATGGAACAGAAATCGGTTTTGATGGATTTAATCCATTTTGTTCTTCTGTTTCCTTATGGAAGTACTGAAAACTTTAGGAATATTTTTAATGATGGAAATCACAAGTCCAATCTAGAAAAAAAATAAATTTTAAGGGATTTAAGTCATTTTAAAATCTGAGAGTGGATTTCTATTGGACAAGCAATGAGCTCTGTATATATCTGGAGTGCTTCAGTCATTCGGCCAATGAGAGAAGTGAAGCCAATTAATATGGCGGAAACTGACGTCCAAATCTATGAACGTCGTAAACTGTTTCCACACCATTTTCTCCAACCACATCTGGGTTTTTTCTAACAGATCGTATCGCTGATCAAGTTATTCAAAATCATAATATTCTTCCATTCGTATAGTAAAAGCACGATATCTCGGCACATCATTGCACATTCGTGTTGACCGCTCTGATAAAATAAAAGAAAGAGACTGGCACTTGGCGTCAATTTGCGCCATCTCGGCATCACCTTTTTCAACCGAGTTCTCACTCCAGATATAAATATAGAGCTCAGTGGTGTGATGCTACCGAGCTCATTTTCACAGCAATGAGATAACATAAGTCATGATTGGATTAGTTAACATTAGTATGAAATCATAAATTGTAGTTTGCATATTAGATTAGAGTAGTAGACAACATAAAAAGGACAATTGTAGACTGTTTTGGTGTTAAAATGCATGTTAAATAGGACAATGTTGCCTGTTATAGGTTTTCAAGGGAACTTAGTCTAAACTTCATTGTAAAATGAAATGAAATGTCAAACTAGTAAGCTAGATTTGCAATCGATAATTTTATTTGAGTAATAAAAAATTGTACCTATTTTTCATTATGATTAAGAAAGAGAAATATGAAATTCTTACATTATTTATAGCTCTTACGCAAGTAAATAGATAGAGAATATTAGATAGTCGCGAGGAGATATGGATTTTATGTTCGATTGGCAAAAACTCTTACAGCAGCTTCGTCTCAGATTTCAAATTTTAACCTGCGAACGGGCATACTCATTACGGGCGGTATGGCCTGCGGAGGAGGTAGGCAAAAACTAGTAATTCATTTCAAGCACTGAATAAACCAACGAACCAATTTGAATCTCAATATAGCTTCTTGAATGCGCAAAATTTAGGAAAATGGAACAAAAACGCAGTATAAGCTTTACAATATCCGTCAGTTGTATTTGCGACATCACGAATTTCAAATATAGGTCACGTCTGTTTCCTGGTTAGAGTATATAGGAATGCACTCTCTGAATAAGTTAATAAACTATATAGAATGATATTATGATTTGTGCAAACTCTATCATCCTTGTTGGTGCAAATGTAAAGAGAATCCTTAAACACTTAACCACACAAACTGGAACGAACATATAAAAACCTACCTTGAAAAAATACCAATGTTACAGCCAGTAGCCACAGTCCAAACATAGTTTATGGCACGAATGATATATGTTCAGGAATATGACAGTCTCCAGGATTTTTTTATCGGGAAGTAAATTGAGTGTTGTTGGCAGGAAGACAAACGAAGAATATTTAAACTCAAAAATTCATGGCGAAAATTCCACTGCGCATCTAAATGACGCGTTGTGCGTCGGATAAATTGTAGTTGTAGCTGAGACCGGAAGATTTAGAATATTATGCATATCAGGCTGTTCAAGCATTATTTGTGTTTCACTTATGACCAGAATAGAACTGTCATTAAATTTCTGTACTATAGCATATATTGTCCGTTCTGTGTAAAGCAAAATAAAGCAAGGTGCACTTAACTTGAAAAATATGCCTGTCCAAGGTGGGAATCGAACCTACGATTTTTGGAATAGTTGCCCAATGCTCTGCCAATTGAGCTACACGGTCAGGTCGGTTCGAGTATGTGATATTTCGGAACAGAATCTAGTTCCTTCGATATCAATGCAATCTAGTAACCATGATTTTTTCTGTGTTGGTGTAATGTCCCCAGGTGAATATGATGTTTGTGATGTTACTCTGAGTGTATATCCACACCGGGTAAGCTTGAAAAATATGCCTGTCCAAGGTGGGAATCGAACCTACGACCTTTGGAATACTAGCCCATGATTATCAGAGGCTCCTCCGTCTTGACCCTTGGATAGGAAGCATGAGCCAAATCTCAAAACATGCATCAATTTTCCGTTTAGCGTTATTCTATACCGTGCTTTGCAGAAATTTCCATGATTTCGCGATTGCAGAAATTTCCATGATTTCGCGATGGCAGAAATTTCCATGATTTCGCGATGGCAAAAATTTCCATGATTTCGCGATTCGATAAGGAGCTTCGGTGGCGCAATCGTCAGAGCAAGCGTCACCTCTTTCAGAGCGACCTCTGAAATCGCGGGTCCATTCTCATTCCGGACTCCTCGCGTCCGTGTGAAAAGATTCAGTCAACGCTCTACCGAAGGTTGTAGGTTTTCTCCAGGTACTCCGGTTAACCCTTCCACCGTAGCTGTGCTCCGTGACCAGACACCAGTCGTAAGGTGGATGCCAGAGGCGCCCTTAGAAAGCATTCGATTCGATGCGGTTGAGCTGCGTCCAAGCTTCGTAATTCATTTTAGCTCTCAAATGCAATTAAGGTTGGTTAGCACATCCCCACTTAATTTACATGTTCATATGGGGCGAGTGAAAATGGACGAATAGAATGGAGATAGTGATCTCAGAAAACCCCAATTGCTTCCAAGAATTTCACGATCTTGGCAACACTATATCTAATGCATTCAGATGTAGCACGCTTCAGAAAGAGCCTGGGTAAGAGGTTGAGTAATTTTTACCAATCCTCGTTCCCAGGGCTTCTGGGCTTCCCGCGGATGAATATATTACATTTGTTCAACTGGCATATAAGCAATTTTAATGCTAAAGAGATTCGCGGCGGTTGTTATCAAGTACTCATAATACACTCGAGCATCTTACACGACATCTATGAAAAATGCTCCAAGTTCGTATATTGGTCACGCTAATGCTTTGCTACGGTAAGGGCAGTGTGATTTTATTATTAGTACATCGTAGATTGTACATTGTATACATATAATGATATACATGAAATATAGGTTTATATTGTAGATTAATAATTATTATAAGTATTGTAGGTTAACCATTTGAGTGATATTGCAAGTAGGAACATCCATTTCTTTAGCATGAATATCAATTCGAATTAAATTTGAGATTATTACAGACGTATATTGTATATAACTAGTACTATTGCGTGGCCAATATTAAACTAAAATCCATTTATCGCAAAGCATGCACGATTAATAATGTCCAAGGAATAAGCGATTTAGATATGTATGGTATATACCATAAATATACTGCAATTATCAAACAGTTTGCCTTCAATGTATATATAATTTCCGCATTTATTTATGCTTGTTTTATTTTGATACATTTGTAGTTCCGGTTTGTGTCAGAGCACTTTCCGTTTGGGTATGCCCTAGAAATATTTAACTGTGATGGTATTTGAACGGATTTAGTTGAGATACGTTGTTGTTTTGGGAAATAGAGCTTTTCGTTTCAATTTGACTTGATAAAATGTGAGAAATTTGCGATTAAAATTTCTGTTTGCGATATTTGAGAGTATTGTATATAGGCCTACTTTGGGGGACAAGGTCGCCGTTATTATGTGCAACATTGTGCGACATTAGGCGACATTGGCAATTTTCAAAGAAAAGTAGAGTGCGACGCTGGGCGAAACTGGGCGACATTGAGCGACATTAGGCGACATTGGACAAAACTGAACAGCAATATCCAGATAATGTCAAATATTATAATTCACAAATTATGCATCTACATAAAAAATACAACAGTAAATATCAAAATATAATTTAGTTATCAAAAATTGGTTCCTGTGGCAAAGAACACAATTAGTTTATTACAAATAGTTTGCAAAAATATGAACTAGGAACATTTCTCTAACTGCTAGCCTGACAATTTACTCAAAGTTTATACCGTAGTACACATACATGCCCAGTGCATGGTACATTTACAGTATCATGGAACTCTGACTTCTTATTAAATTGACTGATGTAAACACCTCATAGAGTTTTAAAACCTGTTTATGGACTGTGGTATGCAGTGATGGAAGTGGGCAAGGTGCTAATAAATTTGCTCGCTTAAATTAACTTTAAACGTTAGTTGAGAGGCTTTCAACAGTTGCAAACTTTTTATTAGTATAGTTTTCTTGTAGTTACAGTATAAATTATAAAGTTAATATGTTCAAGTGTACTGTGTACGTACATTACTACATCGTGGTGTTTGGTATTGGGTTTTTTATTAGTAAGTAAGTAAATCACAAAATAACGATGAAAGTACCTTGTTTGATGTATTTCCAGCAAGAATCAGATATAAATTAATAAATAGAAACAAGAATTGAATTCACAAAAGTTTATATTCGTGTATTCGTTAACATAAAAAAATGCTTAAAAGAAATGGCGGCTGGGATTTGAGCCCGCAATAACACGGCACGTCTCATTTAATGGTTTAGCTTCTAACGTGTACTACTTCGTGTAAGGAAACATAATAATTGATTATGGCGGGCCTTGGCGACATTTTATGATAACCTGTACCGTAGATCTTTCTGTGGTGCATTCATTGCTCTGTATCTTTTGCGATGATACCTAATTATGAGATGTCGATCATCGTAGCTTCGTCGAAAAGTAATTAATTTTATTTTACAAACTACAAAGTCGTATTTTGAACATACTATAGATGACTTTCTTTATTTATAGTCTATATATGTACTATTTAAAACACGAGTAGGAGCGTTTTATCAGATATAAAATGCGAGGCGCAGTCGAGCGTTTTATATCTGATAAAACACGACAACGAGTGTTTTGAATAGCTTAAAATACGACTACAAAAGAGTACTAATTAGGATGAACCATT